AGTAAGCTCTGTCCTTTCCGGCAGATCTGGAAAGCTAAAAGAGCTAGTTAAATCCTTGATGGCATCATTAGATTTTTTTCAGAAATATTTTTTTCCAGCCTTTTTCCATCAATAACACAAAGGACAAGAAGAACATCATACAGGCTCTTAAATTCATCTAGCACTGTATCTTATCTCCAGCAGTGGCCAACAGAGGATGCCCGTGGAAACGTATCAATACAGGTCATGCAAAGTGATACTGCCCTTGTGCACGCATCCAGCCCTTCAATTTGTGATTCAGAACCTTCCAGAGCAAAAGGTGGTGGCTTTGTAAAGAGAAGGACATCCCCATAACAAATGTTAAAGACTTTTGCATGGAATATATTACAAAGAAATCAGTAAAAAACACAAACTTTATTATTCCTGAAATAAATCCAACACGTTAAATTAGGAAACTTATGCAACTAATTATACCCTACCAGTATAAGCAGTATCAAAGAGCAGTATTTTTTTCTGAACATCTCATGCCATCTCTTTTTCAGAATGTCAATTAAGAATAAAAAGAATACAAAATCCTTCTGACAACTGAAGATGAAACCCAGAGTTAAATTTGCAACATATATGGAATTCCCCTTTGACCATTCTAAGGCAATGTCTCTACATTTTTATCAAACCAAACAACCCAAAATAATCTCAACAAACAGCAACACCAACAACAGAACCTACGACCTCCCAAGACAATGCTTTTGAAAAGTTACAGTATCACAGAATTTTAATGTAGGTGCATGCGCGTTAAATATGCACATGCTCCATGTGTAGGTGATGTGGTGTGGCATAAATATTTTACTAGCAGGAGTTTAAGTTACTGACTCATTACTCACAAATGGTATGAATGTTCTTTTCTGATTTTATAAGTGTTCATATTTTCGGTGTTCCTGAATGATTAAGAACAGAAGACTGTGGCATCTGAAAAGCAGTTTTGCAAAAACTTGCCGGAAAGATCTTAGATTTTTAACTAGGGCTTCCATGTCAAGAGCTACTAAGGTACACAGAAAGGGGCCAAGAAACATGTAATTTATGGCTCTGTTCCCCAGCACAACGTTACTGAAGTCAAAGGCCTTTGCTCGAGAGTAAATCCTTCCTCTAGTAGCAGAAGTTTGCAGAACAGCTGTCTCTTCCAGCATTTGGCAAATTTATATTTACAAATAAACTAACCAATTGACTTCTGAAAGTAGGTCACAACACTCCTTCCTCAGGTGGTTGACCTGTTTTTCTCTTGTTTGAAAGGGCAAAAAGAAAAAAAGAAGAGTGAACTGTGCATAATTCTCAGCTCTAAAGTTTTTTTCCCTATGGAAATGAGAAATTAAAGTATCACTTCAAGGATGGCTTCTTGTTTGTAACTGATGCTTAATTCCCCACTTCTTATTTCAAAAAACAAACAGGCAAGCCTAAATAAACTTCTAGATTGAAGACTTCAAACTGAAACTCTGAAACCACCCTTGCGTTACTTCAACCTATGTATCAGAGTGAGCTTCATTTCAGGAGACTGATGATCTACCCAGAAGGTCTCACCCCAGAGAGCCCATTCCTGTAACAGAAATAGTACAGAGCTGTAACAGGCTCCGCTGCAGTCAAGAATAGCTTAGAAGAGGTAGGAGCAGACATCTCATCCACGTACTCAGTAATGTCTTTGCAACTCAAGGCTACTTGTCTCAAGACTCCTTTTTTTTATTTTTTTTTCCTTCCCCACATAGTTGGATTTATTTTGTTGTTTTGTTTTTTAATTCTGTAAAAAAGTATGTTTTCCAAGATGCAACTGTACTTGATCAGGTGGCTGGAAAAAATTGATCCTGAAACACCAAAATTACTATCTGAATATCTGGCAGTCATTAAATCAGAATTATATGAATACATTAAAATAATTTATAGGCTGGCAGTGCGGATGGCTGTCAAATTGAAATCCAATGGAACTTCAAATGCACCTTAAACACTGTAGCAGTGACAGATCCTTAAAGGTAATATTGTTACTAGGTGCTTTTATATTACAGTAATGTTTCAAGCTCTTTCACACAGATCTGCTCAGATAAAAGATATAATGTTGGCATTTACAGCTGCCAAAATTGCCATTTGCAATTAAAAATTAAAACTGGCACTCTTTCTATGCAGGCAATTATCTAAACGCAACTGGCAATCTTCCTTGTTTACAGTGCTGCTGTGTCATGACTTCACTCTGTTTGGAAATCTACTCTTTTTTTTTTTTAGGTTTAAACTTGTCAACTTTATTTCCAACTCCAACTGTACTTGTTTTAATGATTTTCACCATGATCTCAAAGAGAAAGATCCAAAACTACAATTTACAGACTTTATATTGCAACTTCAGGCACTGCAGCAAGATAATTCCTAGTACATACTCTGGGAATTCTCACAATGTTAATTTACATCCATCTATGCCGCAGGATAACACCTGTAAGAACCCAAACAGCAAAATGAAACAAATAAGTGCTCTTCAAGAAGAAAGTTCAAGCTCTATGTGTTGATTTTCACGACAAAACAGAAAGAATGGGCAGATCTCCTAAGTGGACAAAAATCCTTCTACTGAGTAAAATACTACACTAAGTATGTTTCTACTGCTTGTTATCTACAGCAATTTTGATCTACTAAATAAATCTGTCCGCGAAGTATCTTATTAATCAGACTGCCATGTTTTTGGCAAAGTATTTTTTCACTTATAAAAACTTTTATTAAAGTCGGATTTGGGGATTCCCCTGCTGCTGGGAGAGGAGCACTCCTGAAGCTGTCAAACAGCTTTTAGGGAACAGTTGCTTTTCTTCCTGAAGCTGCTGTAACCGCTAGCTTGATTTGATTCTGGCAACAGTGGTGGAAATACAGTTAGCTACACCATATCAGTTGAAACTTCTGATTTATTTATATTTTCTGTAGACAAGCACAGAAATACCTCGTATTATATCCCCCAATACAGTAATGCCTGTCATCTTTTCCTTGCAATTTATCACAACGCATTCATCTAGGACTACGATCCAGCGCAACAACTCCTTGCCAGACTGTACTGCACGTCTTGCTCAGCTGTCCGAAAGGCTTTTGAGCCGGACCTTTCCCCCGAATATTACTAAAACTCGAAAAAAAAAAAAAAAAAAAAAAAAAAAAACAAAAAACAAAAACCAAAACAAAACCAAAAACCAAAATAAACAAACAAAGAAACAAACAAAGACACACCAAAAAAAAAAAAAAAAAAACAAAAAAAACAACAACAAAAGAAAAAACACTACGGGGGACTGCTACTGAACTAAGGAACACCTGTGACCCCGGGGATACTTGAAGTAGTTACGGGCTCAGGTCCCCCCCGCGCAGCTCTCCCACTCCAGCTCCCGCCAGCAAAGCCGCGCAAGTTGGGCAGCGCCGTGACACCACCGCTCTCCACAGAGCGATGCGACGGGACGCGTGTTTTAGTCACCGGCTCTTTCAGCACGAGGGCGACAGGAGGAGTCACTTGCTAAAAGCAAAAAAAAGCGCAGAAGCGGCAGACCGCGGAGGAGCGGGGCTGTCCGCGCAGGGCCCGGCCCCTGCGCCCTTCCTCGGGGGCGGCCGCCGGCGCGGCGAGCGGCAGGTGGGCGCGTCTGGCCCGCAGCATCCCGGGTGGGCGCGTCTGGGCCCACGCCGCCACCCGCGCTCCCCGCGGAGCGGCGGGAACCACGCGCGCTCGGAAAACGCGCGGGAGGAAGAAACGCGCCGTGCGGCTCCGCGGCGCTAACTTTTCAAACCCCTCAGCGCCGGCTGCCCGCGAAGCAAAACTGCCACGCCGTGGGGGCGTGGGTGGGGTGGGGGGTACGACCGGCGTCTCCACCGCGCCCCGCCGCCACGGGGAGGGGCCCGGGAGCGGCCGGCAACCCTCGCCCCGTCCAACCTCGGGGCCGGCGGGGCTGCGGGACCGCCGCGCAGCCCCCCCCCGCGCAACCCGGCGGCCTCAAGCGCCGGGGAGACAAGCGAGCAACGTGTTCCCCGCCGTGCTCTGCCCCCCGGCTCTTTCCGCCGGGCGACCCGAGCCTTTCCCCCCCCCGCAACCTCCTGCCCCGTCGCCTCCCGCCGAGGGCTGCGCGGATTTTCCGTCGCCCGCGGAGCGCCGCGCCGCAGGTGGCGGCGGTGGCTCCCCCGCCTCCGCTGCTGGGGGCTCATGGGCACTTTCGGCGCGACTCGCGGGGGACTCGTCCTCCCCGGGGACCGGCCGCGGAGCGATGCCGCGGGGAGCGGAGCGGGAGGAGGGGAGGTGCGCGGCGCGGCTCTGGCCGGGGGCCGGGCCGGGAGGGGGCCGGGCCGGGAGGAGAGGGGAGCGGGGTCGGTACTCACACGAAGGCGTGGTAGACGAAGGCCCAGCCGCGGGGCCGCTCCAGCACGTTGTACAGGTAGTTCTGCAGCCGGCGGTACTTGGCGTTCCTGCGGCAGCTCGGCCCGCTGCTGTACGACAGCGGCTTCCCCAGCAGGCTCATGCGGGCGCCGTGCTTCCCGCGGCGGCCCTCCCGCAGCCCGGCGGGGGCGGCCGCGCCGCCGGTGCCCAGGAGCAGCAGGCCGTCGCCGCGGGCCGCCGCGCTCGCCAGCGCCCTGCCTCGGCCCGACTCCACATCCTTCATGCCCGCCGCCGCGCCGCTCTTCACCCAGAGCCCCGCGGAGCCGCCCTCCTCCCCGCCGCCGTGGTTGCGGGGCATGGCATCACCCCGGGCGCCGGGGCGAGCGCCGGGGCCGCGGCGGAGCAGGGCGCGGGCGGCGGCGGCCAGGCACCCCGCGGCGGCGGGCCGCAGGAGGCAGCGGGGGCCGAGGGTCTCCGGGCGGCGCCCGCGGGGCGCGGGGGCGCGGGCCACTTTGGGCGCCCGGCGCGGCGGGCCGGGCTGCGGCAGCTTCGCGGGGGCCCCGGCGAGGGAGCGGGCGCCCCCCCGGGGGGGCTCGCCGCCCGGCGTGGCTCCGCGGCCCGGGACGGGGCGGCGGGGGGGGGGGTGGGGGGGGTGGGCCGGGGGGGGCAGCTCCGGCGGAGAGGCCGCGGGGGCGAGGGCTCCGGGCCGCGGCTCGGCGGTGCCTCCCGCCGCCCGCTCCCTCGCTGCCTCCCGCGGCGCTCGGCCCGGCCGGGCCGGGCAAGCTGTTGCTCTGGCTCCCGGCGGCGGAGAAAGTCGGCGAGGAGGGCGGGCCGGCGGGGGCAGGCGGGGGCCGCGCTGCCGGGCGCCTCCGCGGCCCCGGGGTGCGAGCGGCGAAGGCGGCGGCGGTGCCCGCGGCGGGGCGGGCGGCAAGCGGCTGGCGGGACGCGGCGCCCGCGGGCTACGCGCGCTCCCGGGAAAGGTCCATGTAAGTCCGAGAAAGTAACAAAACTGCCGTAAGTCTCGGCGGCGGCGTGGGGGCGGCTCGGCCGGCGGCGGGACCCCGCTGCGGGCGGGGAGCGCGGCCGGCCCGGGCGGGGCAGAGCGGGGGAGCCGCCGGGTGTCCCCCCGAGGGGGCGGCGCAGCCCGGCACGCCGCTCCGGCGCTTCCGCCGTGCCCCGGCTCCGGGAGGCGGTGGGAGAGCAAATCCCAGCGGCGGCGGGGGGCTGCCCTCCCTGCGGGCTCCCCTCCACCCCCAGGCCCCGGCAGCTCCGGCCCCGGCGCGGTGCGGCCGGAGCGCAGCGGTGCGGCCGTTCGGTGCCCGAGCTGTGCCGAGAAAACAAAGCTCCCCCTGCCGAGAGCGGGCCTTTAACTCCCCGCCGCATCAAGGTGAGCTTGCGGAAAAAAAAAAAAAAAAAAAAAAAAAAAAAAAAAAAAAAATCCACCCCGCCACGCCGCAGGCGCGGCCGCTACGCACCTCCCCGCCCAGAGCCGGCGGGAGCCGCGCCGGCTTTGGCCGCTGTTTAATGCCGGTGCTCGGCGGGCGCCCCCCCCCCCCCCCCCCGCCCCCCACACTCACCCACCCACCCACCCACCCCGAGTCCCGCGGCTGCCTGCTCCGTGGGCAGCAGCCACCCGTGCCGCTCCTCGGGGCTCGGCAGCGCCCGTCGCCCCCCCCCCCCCCCCGCCGGGGGTCACCGTGGGAGCCTCGTGGGAGCCCCGTGGTGCCCCGGGGGAGCGGGCGAGCCGCCACCCGCGCGCTTCGGCACCCACATCGTGAAAAAGAGCCTCGGGTTTTGCAGCCCGAGCACCGCAACGGGAAAGTGTGACACTAATTCGTGAAGGGTTAATGAAAAGCAATAATGTCGATGCTAATGGTATGTGAAAATCAATAGAGGCATTCAGAAATTCAATTAAATTTCGGTGGTTTTTTGCTTCATACCGGCTAGTTAGAGGCCAGGCTCTGAAGCCTTTGATTAATACACCATCTCCAACTTTCAGAAAAGAAGAAGTAAGCGGCGAAGTAGATGCCATATTCTGGCTGGGGACGTCAACTCGTGCCTCAACTAAGGAAACCTGGAAACATCAACAGTACTAAAATACTGCTACAATGTCTCCAGAGCCATTCAATCAGTTGTCTTTATTTAAAGAGCTTAATCTTGTGCCTTTCCTCACCGCACTTCCTCCTCCACTGCAGGCAGATTCGAACAGGAACTTTTCAACATGTGAACTGCAGTGGCCACTCACGCTCGCGATAAGGGATGGCAGGAACAGCACACATGTCAAAACAGATGTTAAGTAGTTGATATAAGTATCCACAGCAACCCCATTAATATTTAAGCTTTCCAGTGGCACATATCTACTCCTCTTTCTTTGAATTGTAAATGGAGTTAGTTAATCCTTCATTTACTACTTGTTTGCATTTCCCTGGTTTGATATGCAAGTGTTTACACTCTTCATTTTTCTCATCCCTATGTACTTGTTTACAGCCGAAGATGCCTTCCACATTAGCTGGGCCTCCGGCACCACGCTTAGATTTATACTCTACTGACCTCAGTCACTTGAGTAAAATATTTGAGTGCAGGTACTCAAGTTCCAGCAAGGTGAAGTGTGCCGTCCAACTGGGACCGCAGCGGTCCAGCCTGCTCCGTGAGGCTCGCTCGTGCCCCGGCCCGCCCGTGGTCACCCCCTGAGCTTCGTTTAGTTGGGGCGGGGGGGGGCCATGGCATGGCTTGCCGCAGCAGAACTGCACGCACGCAGCGCTGTCGGTAGGATCGAGCCTTTAAACTGGGGATTTGGACAATACACTACGAGGATTACTGAACTCCTGTTCCTGATGTGCTTTTTGTGATCTACGAAGAAATACTGTTATAATTCTGTGCCCTCTAGTGGCGCTTAAAATCATCTATTAATTTAAGTAATAGTAAGGAAAGCAGTCTGTGAGCACAAATAGCATGGGCCAACATTGAAATGTAGCCATAGAGGCCAGGACAGCTAGAAGCAAACGAAGGTAATGCTCTTAGTGGTGAAGTAAGTACTTTAATTTTACAGTGTGTGAATAAAAGTATTTCCCCATTTATTATCTTTTAGTATCTCTTATTAAATAATGCTTTCAAAAGTATATATTATGGTAATTAATCTAATCCCTACTCATAAGTATGTCAGATAACCAGGGCATGATACACTGGTTGAATGCTGAGTAGATCGTTAGCACCCAGGCAGCTGCCTGCCCCATACCAGGCAGAGGGGCCGTGCTATGTGAAAAAACTAATCCTCCTCTAAGTATTTATTGCAAAATACAGATCTACATTTATCCAACAACAAATTCCCCCGATATTTTGGCTTCAGACCATATAATACCTACAGAGATGAGTCGTGTGAAATTCTAGCGTGTCCACATGGTCCAAGGTCGCCCTGGGTTCAGGTGTCAGTAAGAGGATCTACTTGACGAAATCTCCAAGGCAAGAACATCCCAAGGAATCTTGACTTCTCAAGGCTGCAGGTACAGTATATCCCACCTGCAGGCAGGACAAGGAAAATGGCACGACAAAGTTCAGCTGGGGAGTAGCCGTTACTGTAATTTATGGCAAGTGCTGACAACATAGTCTGCCAAAGTTGTAAATCATGGGTTTTAAGATCACGTTGTATTATTCCAAATATATACATCAAATGTTATATATACTGAATTGTGGAAGAATCAGCTGATAGATGTAATCTTTTCTGATCAGGACAAAATGTTACATATGTTTGGGATTTCCAGGATTCTCTTTCCAATGTGTTACTTGTGATATGCTGTCTTAAATCAGTATTTCTGGATTCTGTTTTTATAAGAGAGGAAATAATTTAAACAGCAGTGATATTCCCATATTAATAATATGTTTTTGCAACAGCATGTGAACTTCTTTTCTAAGATATTTACGAATGCAATTTTGGGTTAGCCACACTAGAAGTTAAAGCAGGCCTTCACAAGGACTAAATTTGCAGATCAATAACAGGAATGCTGAAGAGCACTGGTGTAATCATGACACAGGGTAGATATTAAGAGAACAACCACCTTGCTACAGGGCAAAAAAAAGAGGGAAACAAAGAAGACCAGTGGTGTTGGAGGTCAGTGGCTGGAGTTGAGGATGTCCAGTTCCATGCCTCGCTCCGTGCTGCCAGGCCAGGAAGGAGCTGGAGCCTGCCCACGTCGAGTCCCAAGCAGCTAAGCATGTAGTTGCCTCAAGACACAGATGCTTACTGAGCTGCTGAAAAGCAGTTGTGTACCTATACGCAGCTTTTAGTATATACTTGGTTTTGAAAAATCTGTCTTTGTGCCTGAATTACATATCTGTCACAGGGGGTGGTAGCAATTTGTTCGCAGAGAGAGGGATTGTTAGCATAAATTCAGGGAACAGTGTAAGATGCTCAAAATACTGCAAAGGGAGAACGGTACAAATCACGTACATACAGTGGCTGTTTTAAACAGAAAAGCAGCCAGAGTGCAATCTGGAGGGCCTTCGTAGCAACGCTTTGCAAAGGTCAGTTTACCATGGTATCATGTTTTGAGTTCATTTGAGTTGCTTGTTAATAACCTTTTTTGTGTTATATAATACTGTGTGGTATCGTGTATGCTCGAGTTTTGCATCTCTTTGTAAGATTTTTAGCTTCCTGCCTAATTATATGGAGGAGGGGATACAGATAGCTATTCTTGGTGACAAGCATACAAGAGTCAGGAATAAGTTTTCAAAGCACTTAGGTGTTAGGAACAACTCATTTGTTAGGTGGACCTGTTGTGTGGCCTGTAATACATGCTATGCATCTTCAGGAAACCCCAAAATGAGCATCACTGTTCCATAATAGATCATTAGCAAAATGTCAGATGAACAGCATGTTAGCAGTTGTTGCAGAGCACCAATATCAATATTCCAAAATGTTGGAATATTATATATATTACATTAATATTTCAAGATGTTGGAATGTTTTCCTGCAAGATTTTTTTTCACATAAATGAAAGAAGCAAGACTGTCAGTAGCATGAGGCATTCATGCACTGAAAGCAGCAGAAAGGACTGCCCAAGCTTCCCGGTGTATTATTCCCGGGATCACTTAACCTTGAACTCGAGGGAGTACCTTCAAAAGTAATTTACTTTTGATGCCCCTTTTATGTGTTGATATTGCTATTAGACTGCTATGAGGTTGCTAGCTCTGAGGAAGACCTGTCTCCACAAAGACCTGTCCCGATACCAGACTCTCATTTTGAGCAGACCATGGCCAGCACTGATAATCACTCTGGGTTACTACCAGCACAGGCTAAATTTTAATTGGAGTATAAGACGTGAATGGCTCTTCCGCAGTACCTGTGCCTCCTTGCCTCCTTGGCTGGAGGTATGCTAGAAACACTTCTGCCTGGTTATCACACCTGTGAAGACCAACTCCAGTTCGTGGGCCCCTTCTCCTGCCAGGAGCTGTTCGCTCCCGCCCAGCAAGAGGAACGGTTTGGCCTCCTCCCCTTCCCTGCTCCAGCTCAACAGCAGAAATTCCCAGCCTTGCTTCTGTGCTGTCTGGCTGCCCTACCAAAATGTTCATTTTGCTTCCTGTCATCTAGTATTTCCTCTCACTAATCAGATATTCATCCCTGATAAGAGAATTAATTGATTCCATTGATTCCTACTTAACTACATATCTAAACATCACTCTCCCTTAATAAGGCATGCCTCTGTGAAGCCACTGTGAGACTCCAACACTCCTAAATAGCTCTTCTGTTCATCTCTTTTGCTTTCTCTTTCATTTCATGTTGGTTTGGTGGTTTGGTTTTTTTTTGGTTTGGTTGTTGTTGTTTTTTTTTTTTTTTTTCTTACTATTTTGTGGTGCTTTTCTTCCTTCCTTCCTAAGCTTCCTCCCTCTGTGATTCAACTATCTGGACTCCTGAGCAAACAGTCTGGTGACAAAACAAGACCATATGTTTTGAAAGGTGTCAACCCTTCCACAAGTGCAGGGCCTGCACCATAGACCATTCCCACTCTCTAATCTAGTGAAACCAAAGCATTTTGCCATTACAAAAAAAAAAAAAAAGGAAAAAAAGACCAAAAAAAAGAGACATGAGTCTATACTGAGAGCTGCAGAGCAGTTTACCATGCACAAGCTGGGAATATAACATAAATATAATAAAATATGAAATATTTTTTCAGATAGAAAGGTTTCATTTTGCAAAATATTTATATTTTCAAAATCATATTCCCCAAAATACCTAGAAGTTTTGGAGAAAACATGCCAATCAAAAATGTTAATGTTTAATGTAATCTTTTGTATCCAAACAGTTTATAAATGAGAAGAGATCCTTGGGATCCTCGGGATATTGTCTTCAAAACTGCCTGTTTTCAAGGAGAAGACTGCAGTTTGTCTAGCTTTTGCAAGTCAGCAGTTCCTTCCAGCAGGCGTGGGAACAACCCACAGCAGACCTGAAGAAACCCAGCAAGATCAGAATACGGCCATTTAGGAATTCAGCAAGAAGACATTATTTTTTCAGGTTTCCAATGTAGGAGACAAGTAAGGATATTTTTGGTTTGGATTTGTTTCTGGTTTCATTGGGTATGCAGGAAATATTCTGTGAAAGCTCAGGTTGATCCCTAGCGTTAACAAAAGACACGGCAATACATAATCTTAGTTTATGCATTAGATCATCTGCAGATGTATCTGAAAAAAGCTGATGGATGATATTTTGATGTATCTCATTATGAGCTTTTCCTTTAGACTATAGTGATCTTCATTATTTACCAGACACAAACTTCTGGCCATCTCTTTCCCCTTCTTTGCGCATCTTTTCCACTTGCACTTTAGCAGCTCTGATTTTGAAAATTCCTACTCAGCTGTGACATAATCTTTGAAGCACTGACATTTTTGACACTAATATTTCAGAATCACCTAAAATTTTTTCTTCTGAAAATACCTAGAAGCTCGTCAGTCTTCACTTGAGTCATCTGGAACATACTTTGCATTTATGCTGTTTGTTTCCACAGACTAACTTGTAGATACAGGAGACGTGCTCACCTTTGCTCTCTCTGGCCTAAATAAATTAAAAAAAAATCTATGCCGAGTAGCATGGCAAGAGCCAACTGCTTCAGATGCTCTTACCTCAGGGTGCTTGCACTTCAGAAATGCTGAACATCTTTAGGTGTTGCTCCTGGGCAGCAGAGCGATGCTGAGGCTGGGGGGAGTGCTCTGCCCACTGACCTCTAGGACAGGTTGGCAACATCATTAATCTCACCTACAGGACACAAGAGGAGATACGGTCTGCGTGTTTCTGGCCAGTTTAAAAGGTTCCTTGTTTGGTACCCTGGCTTCTGTGACCTTCCTATGGAGGTGCCTATATGCTTCATGCATTATTGAGATGACCTAGTCCTAAAATAGGAGTCCGGTTTCTGCTCTTGGAATAGGACTTACATTTTAGGGGTTAAAGCACAGAGTTTCCTGCCATCTAAAGCCTCTGTTGAAATCTAGGAGTGACATACTGTTCTCAAAGATCATCAGCTGTTCATCTTGCATACAAATGCACTTGTGTCTTAGGCTTTATTCATAGCGCAAATACAGGACTCAGAACTAAATGACTGTAATTCATTGTAACTGGAGTAACATTCTTTCTAAATTAGATGGTTAATCACCAACCTAATATATTCTGCAGGTGCATTTAAAAATAAAAAATAATATACTGCCATTTTTCATAAAAATATAAAAATATTTGGCCTTTTCAATGTGCCTGTTCAAATGATTTGACAGCATCTATGATCCTCAAAAAATTTGAATAAGATGTGCCCTCTGAATTATCAAAGTGACATAACGAGAACTTACTCATAAGCTAGAGGCACCGCAGAAAGCTGGAATAGATATGAACTCTGACAACACATTTTTCCATTAGTGTATCAGAGGACAACTAGTCATTGGAAACCTTTTGTAAGAATTGTATGCTTGGGGCTCCTCCTTTCTGCTACTGCGTTCCTGTTGACTTCAGTGAGATTTATTCCTGTCAATATGTAAACCGTAAAGGCTGAGGGGAGAGTGTTTAAGGTCAGTAGGGCCCTGTTGGATGAGTAAAGAAAATCAGTTGAAGCTGTAGCATGTCAGAAAATAAGTCCTTAGGCTTCTACAGGCATGGTTAGGCACTTGGCTTACCCATGTTCTTAAATCTCATCTTAAGCATGCACTTCAAAAATCTCCATTAGGAGAAACATGAAAACCAGGAAAGCAAAGGTTAAGAGGAATATAGTGAGGATCTAGTGAGGCTGTGAGGCAACAACAATAACAAGACAGAGTTTACAACAACAGGTAAGCAGGAATCATAAACATGGGGAATAAGATGATAGTAGGGAACAGGGCTTTTTCCTGCATGGCTTGAAGGGGTGGTCTAACAGCTGTACTCCTAGAGAAAGGTGGGAAGTAGTTATTTCATTTCAAAAGAGAAATAAAATAGAAGCTGCAATGCATCTAAAGCTAGCTTGTTTTATGTTTCCACATATATCATTGTCTGCAAGGAAACGTATGAGCCAAAAGTGATTTTTAATATCCTTGTAGGGTTGGGGAGAGCACAGTTAAATACCATAGGCAAGATTTACTATGGGAGTATTTACATGAGAAGCAAGATATACAAATATAGATAGAAGCCAAAACCCACCACCTTTTACCATGAGGGTGGTTGGACACTGGCACAGGTGTACATATACGTTGTGAAATCTCTGTCCTTGGAGTTTTTCAAAGCTTAGTAGCCCTCAGGCAACCTGATGTAACTTTGACGAAAGCCATGTGTTGGGCAGGTTGGAGTGGATGACCTCTAGAAGTTCCTTCCAACCTAAATTATTCCATGAGTGTAGATGACCTAGGGCAATGAATACTTTATGACCTACCCTGTGAAATAAAAACCCATTGATAAGTTTGACCTGGTCAATACTGTAAGGACACATAAGTATCTGTCACTGCTGATATCCTGCCCCCGCTGCAAAATCACAAACCTTATGTGCAGGGGGCAGAGGGTTGAAAGGATGGCAGTGGTTTCTGCCTTTGATCTAATAGCTCCTCCAATTGCTTCTCTAAAAAGAGGGAACATGGGAGAATGAGCAGAGATGTCGTAGAGCAGCCCTACGTGAGCATAACTGCGAGGAAGAGCACAGGACCAAGCGCTTGTCCTGTCTCCACCATGGGTCCCACCACTCTGCAGCCCATTGCCTGCTCCTGCCTTTCTCCAGCCCTCTCTGCCATAGCAAACATCCTTCCTTTGCTCATCTCTTTAATTCCCTGAGATATGTATTTCCCTCAAATAAAAAGGCAGCATTCAAAAATCTTTATTTTTTAAAAGGGAGTAGTTATTTTAGTTGCCCTCCATAATAGACCATTTTAAGAAAGTGTTGAGTGCTCCTGGTTTGAAAAATCATGTTTCTGTTAGCATTTCCCTAGTAGGAAGTTGAAATCTCTAGTCCTTTTTGAAAATCTTGATCAAACTTTGCCTCTGGTTAATAGGACATTCACATTAGACCCACTTAGGTTGTTTAATTTAAGCAGGGGTCAAATTCTGCCTCTATTTTGTTATTCTGCCTAAAGTTTTGTATTCTGCAGGGAGGTTCATTGGTTCCAACTGATGAGAAGAAGAAAATAATCGGCTCAGGTTGGTTATACCATAAATGCTTGGAATGAAGATTAAACATTATTATTATGAGCAACTTCCAGCAGGGTTTAAAGTGTTGAAATTTAACCTTGCCATGTGGATCCCTATCACTTAACTTTAATGAGTAACCAGTAGCAGGAGAGTTTCCTATATCATGTGTGCAGTAGCTGCTGAAGAGAGATATGACATATTATCTAGACTAGTTTATAGAAGCAGCTATCCTAGCACTGCAATAAAGAGAGAAACTAGGAATTTAAGCCATCATCTTCTAAAAGGTGCGTTTTAAAACTATGGTTCTAAAATTATTTTTATATTGTAAATATCATGTACTGGAAGCAAAACTCTTACGTATTCCAAAAAGAAATGATGGCCCTAGGTGATAATGATGGGTGATAAATAAAAGCCACAAACTCCCTTCATAACCGAGCTGGAAATGGTTATGACTATTACTCCACTTTTCTTATGTTAGATCCTGATAGCAAACTTTTTTTTTTCTTTTCTTTTTTTCTTTTTTTTTTTTTTTTTTCCCCCCCTCAAAATATTTCACTGGAGCAGAAGTGAGAAATAGTTGAAAGCTTAGAGATGAGTGTTTTGGAACATTTTGCAGAGCATGCTGTCTGGGGCCATAAACACGCGATTCGGTTGTAACTTAAAATATCTGATTGAAGTTGTTCTTTCCATTCACTGTCTCTTTCCATATTTAAATCCATACAGATAAGGATACCTCTCTGTTTCCAGAGCGAATCTGTACACTTTAGTGTAACAGCAGAGGCAGTTTCCTGCTGAAACAAATGAGCCACAGATAGTAACAAATATTTTATTGTTTACTTCTTCTCAACTGATGAAGAATCACTGCCTTTATTTTCTAAAGAGGGGAGCATTTGCAGTGCTGATGAAATTTTCATAAGAGCAATGTTGCTTTAGATCCCAAGTAATATTGATCTGGATTCTTATTCCCCATTAAAAAACAAACAGGTTTTCTTTCTTTAATATAGTATATGGCATTCTCTTTCATTCATTGCCTTTGGCTGAGGAGACTTATTAAAGGCATTTTGGTTTCATGCACTGCATTAGTTAGGAGTAATAATTTCCACCGGGTAACCTTACCTCCTCTTGCATAATTCTTTGCTGCCCACTGAACTGGCACGTTCTCTTCCTAAAGCACACCTCTGAAATTAAACAATATGCTTTGCAAAAGGGGAGAATTCACAGCAAAACACACATTGTGGAAACGCCCCACCATCCTGAGGCCACTAAACATTATTTCTTCTCACTTAAGACAGGCTGCTTGAAGGAGGCTGGTGCTGGAAGACCGAGCAGCTGTGGGGGAACGGAATGAAAACCGGCGGCCCTAAAATTTATCTTTATTTGACACCGTCCTTAGCGCTGTGATGCTGCTGGTGAACGCCAACATCGACGTGCGGGGCTGACCGCATCCTCAGCCTCCTCAGCGTGAACCGCATCCTCCTCCGCATCCTCCGCACCGCCCGGGCCCCGGCGGCCCCCCCGGGACCGGGGGCACCACCGGGGGCCGGGCCCGTCAGTATCTCGGTGCCCTCAGCAGGTGGCAGTGGCGGCCCACGGCGGGGTGGGTGCGCGGAGCCCCCCCAGAGCCCGCCCGCGGGGGGGGGGGGGGGGGGGGGGGCGGCCGCTCCGCGGGGCTCCGCGGAGGGGCTGCGGTGGGGACGGGGCGAGCGGCCGCGCAAGGCGGGTGCCGGGACGCGCCCTTCTCCTCCCACCTCCCCGGCCCCTCGTCTCCGCACGCAGCGTGGCTCTTTTCATAAACGTTCAGTAATTCCTCAAAGGAATTTCAGAGAAAAATTGATGTAATAATAATAATAATAATAATAAATAAATAAAAAAAAAGGCAAACCCCCCCAACAAACAACCCACCCCCAAAAAACTTCACAAGCCCCCCCACATTCCCCAAACCAAATCAAAAGTATTGCTCCCCTATTCACGCAGTTCCTTCACCATCATGGCTGTGACCGGATTTGTGTGTAAATGGTAAAAACATCACGGTAAAAAACACATCTCTGTTAAATTTGATCGTGAATTTAATGCTGTTGTGACCAAATACTTCTGTGGCTGCTTACACAATGGTTTATAAATGTTGCTAGTCTTGAGCCATTCCCTGAAGGGAACAGATACATAAAGAAGCATCCATGTAAAAATATGTTAAAACAATTAAATTTCAGAGAGAGCAATCCCTCTTTATTTGAATTTCCAAAATATTAATCATGTGAACGTGTTGAGTTTATACAGACAGCCATGGTAAATGGTGTCTGCATTTGTCTTCTTTTTTTTTTTTTTTTTTTTTTGAGGTATTTTATACACTTCTGTAATATCTTTTTTTATTAGACCTTAAGTGTTTTAAAACAGCCTTATGTTAAATATAACTCTTTCTTTAATGACTACCACACATGATTACATATTAAGAGGATTAGAGTTTGCAGGAACAATTGTTGAATGGAGTTTGTTTAATTAGTACTCATCTACATAAGGGTAGTTGAGATGCTGATCCAGAGACCATTTCCTATTGTGTCTGTGCTAACTTCAGTGGAATGACATTGGTAATGAATACCGCTCATTATTTTTGTTTAGTTTAGGTTTTTGTCTAGAACATGTTGTTCTTTAGTTAAGAGAGACTAAGGCAAGAGTAATAGAGTAGTGTATTTTGTGGGTTCTATTTATCTGCTAGTACCTGTTTATAAACTATGAAAATACATATTTTTGTATATTTGTTTCATTTGCACACATCATCTGACAGCTTTTCTGTTTATTTTCAGAAGCTGTGTATCCTATCCGCTATTTAAAACTGTGGCAATGTGGTGCAGTCACATGCTGGCTAGCCAATGATTTCTGGTGGGACTCAAATTTTTTTAAAGAAATGATAGATCTTGTGATCTGGGTCTGCGGGCAACTAGGATATAATACGTTTTCTATGTAGGGAAGAGCGTGCTTATCTTTATTGCCAAGAGCTTCCAAAGCCTCTCCCTGGAGCCTGGAGAGGCATACTGATTGACAGTTCCTCTTCACCTGCCCACTGATGATGATTCATCTCCAGACAGAAGAGGAAGCGAGCGGGAAGCAGAGAAAGGAAGAAGATGCGGGTTGGGTCCTTCCGTGCGTCCCTTGGAGGCCCTGCGACTTTCATCGGAGTTTTCCCTGCCTGTACCGCTCCGGTGGCATTCAATAACACACAATTTTCTGTATTGTTCTAATTGCTTCCCACTGGAGAACAATTCCAGACTTTTGGTTTTTTTGAAGACAGGTTCTATCTCTGTCTTTGTCTTCTCAAACTGATTACTGCAGTGGTTTTTTTTTTTCATTAAAATGTGTGCTCTAATGAAAGAGGCTGATGCAAAGGCAGCAGAGTAGTGGAAGCCTGACTGGTGTTAGGCTATTTAAACACAAAATGCTACTCATTTTCCGTGCTACGCTTATTATCTGTCAAACTATTGCACTAGGTCAGATGCTTGCATTTACTTAAAATGAATTTTGCAGGTTATAGATTTTTTGAAACACATGTAACTGCAGGTAAATAAACTATTTTAAATTATGAAGTTAATGATTACATGCAGTCCTCTTTCTCCTGCTGAAATAGTATAAAGAAGACTATCCTCATTTATTTAGTGTTATTTTAAATGTAGCCTTACCTTACACCCTTATGGCAGTAGCATATAGGAAATATGCTTGTCCTAGATTTTGACTTCCAATTTTGTGTGTAACTCTGGGTACCTACATTACTTACCCCGACCAGCGGAAGCATGAATCTGCTTTGGGAGAAACACTGAAAAGATCAAGCAATCCACAGGTCTGGAAAACTTTGTCTCCCTGGGGATCATGGCTTTTGTGACTTCTAGTGTAATTATTTCAGTGACTTGTTACAGAGCTCTGACAAAATAAAATGCTTAATAACACATCTATAAAAGAAATATCCCCTTATTACTTCTGTGGTTGCTACAAGTGGTGGCTCTACCACACTGTAGCACCTTTAAATTTGTTTTCTTCTTGCTTTACATCCCGAAATGGTCTCCTGCTCCCTTTCCAAGTGATATTATGGTATTGAATAACAATTGTCTTTTAAAGTTAAATAGAGAACTCCATGCCAATTATTGATCCCTAAATTGTCCTTTTGCAGAAGAAAGCCCCCAAAAGCTTCTGGTTCCTACCCTTAACTTTGCTCATCTGTTCAGAGGGCACAAACTCTTTCTAAGTAGACAGGAAGGCAAAGATCACACCTTCAGGAGACACCTGGAAGGGAGCTTAACTAGAAGTGTCCTACCAAGTTCCCTGATTTTCAGTGTGTTACTAAAATGGTTCAGTATCAACCATGTTGCCATTTAGTACATTCAGCTTTCTGCCCATTTTGTTGCACACAACTTCAGGTGAGTAAAGTTCTGATTTTCTACTCACTTTAGACAGTACGTGCCGCCTTAGAGGCATGCAGAATGGGACTTGACTATGTGATTTTACTATGACATGAGAGCACCAAGTTTACGTCAGGATCCATAGAAATATCTGCCTGAAGAAAGCTTTTCTCTGCAGTGTTTTTAAGAACAACTTAGGATGTAGGTTTTATGAAATTCTAATAAAAAAGGGAAAGGTTTGTAAGGATATTAAATAATTTTTCTACAGGGACTATAAACCTTCTGCAGTTTTTTATCAGGAAAGCATTTGTCTGAGCTAGTTATTCAGCATGCAGAGGAATGAAGTCTTTGGGATTTTTGTTGCAGCTTTTTTGAAAGCTCTTTATTTTAAGTTTTCTAATTATATGCTCAATTGGGAGTTATGCAGGCAGTATAATGCATTTCAGGAAAGACCCCCAAAATGCACAATTCCCCTTTTCTAATCTAGCTGGAGGACAGGACATAAAAGCAAATCAGATCTTGGCCAGAGTTGTACTATGATCTCAACTTTCAGATTAAAGTACTTTTATGGAATGAGGTAAGAGAAAGAATTAATTCTTGGTTTAGAAAAAGGGAAGATCTCATGAGAAAGCAGTGGAAGGAAGATTGTTTTTTAATTTAACTGCTGCTGATTTTTTTTTGGATGTGTCATGTATGGAGGATACTACAGCAAATCCATTAGTTTGCCAGGAGCTCAGTGTTCTCTTAACAGCACAGCCAGAAGTCTCCCCAAGAAGATTTGGGAAAATTACATAGCACGTCTATGCCTCAGTTTACCAGCTGTAAAATTGGAGTAATAATTTGTTACTACAGATGGTGTTATAATGATATCCCCCTCAATTTTTGGAAGGTTAACGCTATCGTTCTTAAAATGGTTTAAAAGCCCATAGTTAAATACATCTTCTCTTCCCTCATGTTCAAAACCAACACAGTTTGCTTATCTCTTCAGTCACCTACCACAGATGGAGAGGACTGTGCTCACAGTGAGGATAACTCTGACACAAGTTGATGTTGCTTAGTCAGTGAGATGTTTTGTACATTTGTCATTGTGTAAAATACATCTATTTTAATGCATGACTAAGAGTAAAAAATGTATTACCACAGGGTAAATCAATTAAATGTTCTTATTCTCATAACAAGTATGCATTTCTAATGGAATATTTTGTAGCATCTTGTTATATTGCTCTACAGTACTAACAGACATCTGCTATTATACACAACCAATCAAAATCTGACTCAGTTACCCTGCAGATAATTTTAAAATGCCTTAAAAATTTTAATCATGAAATACTTGAGCACCACCATTTAAAAAAAAAAAAACAAACAAACCACAACCTCGAATTGAAGCATAGAAGTGGAAATAACGAGATGACAAGGAGTGGATTATACTCTTATTGAAACCAAGTTATACTACTGTTTTTTTGTGAAATAGTACGGTCTGAAGTACGGTCTTTTGAGTGTGTGCTCACTTGAGTGATATTCCTCTTTCTTCCAGAGGATGTTGATGTTCTCTTTCCCTCTCCACCCAAGTAATTTATCTACTTATTGACTTGATTCATATAATATTTGAAAGACTGCAAACACCTCGTTGATATGCGAACAAACCGAGGTTCCTCCACCGCTTTGCTTTCTGTTTGTCCCTTTTCCCGTCACTCACCTGTCAAGACGGCTTAAGCCATGAGGCTGGAGCCGTAAGAGGCAGGGGCTCTGCCAGTCGCACTGTTTGGGGGAGGTAGGATAAAATCTCCACGTATATTGTGTGGGGTGTCAAGGAATGCAGTAGAAAGTGCCCGTGGCTCAAGGTCGGGCTCTTGGCTTTTGGTGAGCCAGTAAGCTAACTGGCCTTGTTAGTTTACTGTGCCACAGATGCTCAGAAACTTCCTTCTGCTTTGGCTGCCTTAAGTTATATATATTCAATCCAAATTCTTATGAACGACAAGGGAACGTTAATTTGCAACAAGTCAGTAGGAGCTATTGGCTATGCAGAACCTCTGACCGTTCAGCCAGCTAAGAATATGGACCTGGGGACTCATTTCTGGCCAGAGTTTGTTGGCAGGATACTGGGATACAAGGTTATTATTATTATGGAGATAATATTGAGCCATTGCTTGTGTTCCAAACCTCAAACCACAGTTCATGTACAATGTAACATTAAGTACATAGTACCTATA